TTTTTACAAGCCTGTCTTTTCATTGGATGGGACTTGGCAGCATCATTTGCCATACTTTTGATCAATATGTGTGACGGTACTCATAAAAGTGGACTTCCAGAATTGCTTTAACCTGGAATTTATTTATTTATTTATTTTGTCTTTTTGAGACAGGGTCTCACTATGCGTTTCAGGCTGGCCTTAAGGTCAGAATGTAGCCCAGGCTGGTCTTGAACTTACAATGATCCTCCTGCCTCAATCTCCCAAGTTGGAATTTCTTTTGAACTAAAATTGTGGTATAATTACAATCATCACTTATACTGTCAGCTCTTTTACCTTAAGATGAAAATTTTAACAACTAGGAAATGCTTTTGAGTAATTGCATATGGTTTTATTTGCTTTAGTTCATTAGATTTTATGATTTATATACCTCAGAAATAATAAAAATGAACAAGAAACAAGAGCAAGATAAACCCATGAAGGCATAAAGGATGATGTAATATGGGCACGGCAACTAGGGAATGCCAGGAAACCTCAAGTAAGAGGAGACTGCTGAATTCCAGTGGAGATGCTAATGCTGGGATCCTTGGAAGCAAAGAAAAAAAAAAAAAAAAAAAAAAAAGAGAATTCCCAGGAGTTTCTTGACTCCTTTTATCACAGGAGTGAACTTACTTACCAGAATGAATCTTTCTGAAAATGGAGATTATAGGAACAAACCATCTTTTCAAAAGAGATCAGTATTCTTTTGGGTTCTAGAGGGAATTCTCATAAAGCTTTTATACTATGTACATTTAAAAGGATATAATGGATAATAGGAAAAAGGATATAATGGACTTTTGCCAGATGCTTTACTAGAAATGTAAACATACTTCTTGTAATGATCCTAATAGAAACTGTTTCTTTAGTTTTTCTTTCTTTAAAAAATAATTGTGTTAAATCAATATTCAGTTGTGTTTGTTCTAAATGAAAGGGTGGAGCAGAGTAAATGGAAGAGGTTTTAAAGACGTGAATGTAATTTTCCCTGCCCCCAGGAAGAGAGCAGATGTCAGTGAAAGCCTTCCTAGTTCCTTTTATTGTGGAAGGAAATTTACATGAATGAATTTCTGCCAGGCCACCTCAATTGAATCCAAAAGCTATGGTGATGACCAAAATCATGAGCAAAAATAAATCTGAGTTTGTTATCTCAGATATAATAACAGAAAGTGGATATACTCTTAGTGTTTCACTAAGTTATCTTTGCAGGGCAGGTGTTTTGTTCCATCAGCTGAAGAGATCCATGCCCTTTAACACAGTTGAGATATCTCCTGCTCCATCTGAAGGAATGCTTTTCCAAGCCTTTGCTTAAAAACATGGCTTGGATTTGCCCAAGAGCCTACACACATAAACAATTGAGAACTTAGAGTCTTGTATCATCATAAAACAGGGATGAAAACTGTCGAGTGGCAGCGTCGACCAAGCAATATCAACTGCAGAAGGAGCAAAAACAGAAAACTGCGTTGAGCTGTAGAGAAACTTGCTCTGAATCAGACTGTGCCAGAACACAACTGGAAGCGGAGGCAGAGCTAGAGTGGGATTCACCGCAAAGACAGAAGTATTTATTTGTTTATTCATTTGCATACTCATTCATCACGTGCACCAGTCAAGATTCAGTCAAGCTTTGCTTATTCATTCGTCATATCCACCTATGATTCTTCTGGATACTGGGTGTTCAGATCAGATATGGACCACTTTAGGTATTCAGAATTGTGTGAGAAAACATGTGAAGTTAAGATCGGAATCAAGCAGAAAGGGCATGGAACAGAAGACCAGGTCAAAATTATGGTGAAATTTGAATGCTCGACTTGAATCCAACGGTTTAGCTTTAATTCTGTAGGCAATGAAGGGTGAGGGGCATCAAATTTTAATTATGGGAGTGACATAGAAGGAGTTTCAGAAAGATCTAAGAGAGGAGAACAGTGCTGTGAAGCTAACTTCTGTCTCAGCTGTTGAAGTAGATGATGGAACTAAAAGTAGGGATTCAGTTGCTAACAGAGAGAAGGCAGGATGCACAGAGCTAGACCTTGGGAAGCACTGATATGTGAGGCTAGAGGAGATGAACCAGATGAGTACTTGGGAGGGAACAAGGTTGGAGGCCAACAACCGGGAAGTTTCCAGAACATGGAAGCTGGTTAGTTAATGGTGCTTCTGTGTAAACAAGGAGTACAATTTCTTACATCTACCATCAGAAATGACTTTACCATAAGTAAGATGCATGCAGCTACTTCATGACCTTCAAGAGAGCAGAGTGATGAGAGGATAGATAGAGAATAAGAATTAGAAACAATACATATATTCTCTTTCAAAAATCAGTAGAGTAGTCTGAAGGAACATCAAATAGACTCATTGGAATTTTGTTTTTGAGACAGGATCTTGCCGTGTAGTTTGGGCTGGCCTTGAGCTCACTACGTAGCTGAGGCTAGCCTCACACTCATGGTGATCCTCCTGTCTCAACCTCCTAGGATTACACCTTCTGGGATTCGCCCCTACATCCTGCTTTCTTTAGAAATTTTTTGACTGCAAGTGACAGAAAACCCATCACAAATTTATGTGGAGATAGTTAGGCTTCAGGCATGGATAAATTCAGGACTCAATTGATACCACTAGTACTTCTTGGCTTGACTCTGTGTCCATTTTTATGGTGGTTTCATTTCTATGTTTCTCCATGGTGACAAGATGGTTGTAGTAGCTTCAGGACTAAGTATTTTTCAATTGTTTTTTTTTTTTAATCGGTACCAGGGATTGAACTCATGACCGCCTGCGAGCAGGCTGTCACTGCGAGCTAAATTCCCAGCCCTGTCTTTCCCAACTTAAATCCAGTGATATTCAAGAGAAGAGTTTTACCTCTCTTAACAAAGCTTGGAATTGATTCTAGTTTGGCTTAGATTGGCTTGACTAGAATTAAAGGTCCATTCCTGCTGGGGTTGGAGCTCACAGACGGGTCTCAAAGTAGAGCTGGAGCCCAAAGAAAGCACAGAAACTAAGATGGAAAGGGGATGGCTCCTTGGTGGAATCAGAGTACTGCCAATAGACATGGAGAATGGATCCTGGGAAAACTCCAGCTTCCAAACTCCAAATCTGAAAGAAGGCAACTGATGGGTAGAAGCCTGGAGCAGCAGGGGAGGAAAAGTTGGAATAAAATCTGAAGGAAGAAAGCATCCTCATGGCTGAGATGGAGAGGAAAGACAGTAAAAGGTGATAAGCAACTTGACATGTAAGTGGGGCGTATGCTAAATCGCTTTACTTTTCAAGTAAAAATCTGGGGGGAGGGTATATGTAGTTTTATTTTTTAATTAAACCTATTACACAAATTGCACTATAGCAAATACATGGAAACAAATAGAAGCTATAAAACTACAGCTGGCATATCAAATGCCTTCATTCTTCACATCGTGGACATAATCTTTACAAAGCTAAGTGTGAATTTGTGAACTTTAAATATGGTCTTCATAAGATTTTTAATTGTATACTATTTCATAGAGTGTATATATTGTAATTCACTTAGTGATTCCATTAGAAGACAACAAGATTGCTTTCATATTTGAAATTAGAAATTATGGTACAATTATTTTACACTTAGCTGTGCATTTTTCTTTGAGATATTGCTATAGAATAAGTTCCCAGGAAAGAGACCATCCTGTGTAAAGAAACAGACATTTCTGTGCCTTCTGAGCTTGTTACAAACTGTCACATGAGGTATGCACAACTGCTAATGTCTCAGCCATGAATCTGTCAGTTTCCTCTTGTGCCAAACATTTTAGACATTTTATCCCGGTAAAATGTTCAAGACAACGACTAACACAACAAGTCAGTCACTGAAAGCCATGATAAATCTATCAATTTAGCTATGTTAATGACTATTTAATTAATATTTAATGTAATTGCATTTCATTTTTCAACAATCCTGAATAAGAAAATGTATTATTCTTAATTTTACAGACAAAGAAAACAAGATATGAAGAGACTAAGTAAATTGTACAAAGTCCCACTGCTGGAAAGTGATAGAAGTGGTATTTGAACCATGGTAATCTGAATCCAGAACCTGAGTAGGCTATAAAGTATGATAAAAATATCCAGTGAATACTTAAGTTTTAGAAATTATTACAGTGAAACATACATTGCTGTCAATCTTCTCACACGATTGTTCCTTGCATTAAACTTATCCCATCATCCTTGCCACCTTCCAAAACAGTTCTAGAAGTCTTCTTTTACAATTGTCTGTATGAGGTGTGATAAAAAATTTGGTGAATGCTTCTTCTAGATGCTGTCCAATGGAAAGCCATGCTAGGAAACAGTACCATGTATCTTCAGCTATCTTATCTACCTGCCCGGCAGAGTGAGACCTTTGGCTCTTCCCCACAGTCAGCATCACCATGAGAAGTAAATGTTTTGAATCAAAACACTGCGGAAGCCATGACAATGAAAATATAGACACTAAAAACTCTTCCAGAACTGGTTCAGAAAGTGGCAAAAATGATGGGATAAATGTGTTTAGTCTAGAGGGATTATTTTGAAGGGAATTCATGGCATTGTTATCTTTCACTGTAGTAAAATTTTTAAAACTTTATTCATCACATTTTTTTCAATCACACTTTGTATATTGTGATAGTTTTGAGTGACATTCCCTTAGATGTGGTTATGATTGATATATATTGATGTGAGAATTTTATCATATCCTTTTGGAAAGATTTTTTTATGGCGCTACTTCAGGGCTAATAATGGGGTAATTGTTATGGATTTGAATGGCTCAGGTGGTCTAAATGGGAAGATTTGTTTGTTTGTTATTAATCATATATTTTAATCCTTCACTAGTAGGTAGAGATTAGAAACTAAGAATTACATTGCTAAGCATTAAAAATAGAATGTGGTAGTTTCATATACCCAGAATACCCAGGTATTTGCTCTGTTTTTGATTTGTTTTGTTCATTTTTGTGTTAGCTCTGATGGAATTTAATTCAGCCCTGCTTATTTCCACAGAAACATACCTTCTCGGTTTGCTTGAACATTTGAAATGTTGGTATTGCTTGGACGTTACAAAATTCAGCCAACTCCTGGGAAAGAAAGAAATGGTATGAAGTCAGCAATTGTGATATGCTTTCTTTGTATCAAACACACTGCTTGATGATTTCTCAGGAGATGTGTCTTAAAACTCAGGAACACCTGACACGTTAGAGACTATCCGGCCTGAGAATGTGTAATCCTACTGGTTGACTTTCAAGTGGTACTGGTTGTGGCCACCTGGATGCCTGAATCTATTCAAATGGTTTACCTTTTACGGCAATTTTTGACTTTGGGGAAAAACCAGAGTGGCATGGTGCCAGATCCTATGAATAAGATGGATGAGAAGTCCGCACAACGTTTTTATGAGCCTGTCTTTCTGTTGGGTGACACTTAGCAGTGGCATTCGCACTATTTTTGATCATACCTCATAAAGACATGCATGAAAGAGGACTTGCAGAGCTGATTCAGGAAGCTGCAGGAAGGGTGAGATATGTGTCCATAGGGAGGGGGAGTGTTTGCAGGAGATTCATGGCAATGTGTCTTTTACTATAATGCATTTTAAAAAATGTAACATACTCTATATATTTTGGTCTCTGATTTTAAGAGAGGCCAACATAATTCTTTCTTGTAAGCCCTGTAGTCACTTTACTGTTCATCTATGTTTATGAAAAATTTGGAATCTAAATATATGAAAATAGGCCTGAATCATGAAAGATTAATTCATTCCAAACTGCTTCTAAATGGCAGTTTTTGTTTTTCTTGTTTAGAAGTCAAAAGAAAATTAGCCACCCAGGGGATCAGCAGAAATGGACATTCCTCTTTAATATAACTGTAGTTCTATTGTCATTGAATCCATTTCCTTTCCTACAACAGTACACACACACACACACACACACACACACACACACGTACACACAAATACTAAATTATAATTTACGTAACTAAGGTAATAACAACTAATAAATATGTTACTAATAGAAAAATGTGTTTTTTAGTTCATCTTAAAAACCAGAGAATTGTAATTTAAAAAACAAGACAAAACAGTGACATGTATGGGGGAGTCTGAGCCCTCCTGCTGTGATACTGGGAATATCTAATGTCGCAATTGCTTTGAAAAACAGTTTGTCAGTTTCACAGTAAGTTAAATGTTGAGTTAACATGAGACTCAACAATTCTATTTCTGGATATATTCCCAAGAGCAATGAAGACTTATGTACACACAGAAACTGCTGTAGTCAAGTTTATGCTCACAGTAGCCACAAAGTCCCAACAATCTAAGTGTTCATCAGTAGATGAACAGGTAAGTAAAAGGTAGTATTTATACAATGGAATATTATTGAGCAATAAACTGAATGATGCTGATATAGGCTATAAAATACATGAACCTTGAAAACATGCTAAAATCAATAAGCCAGTCATTAAAGACCATATAGTTCCTGATTCCATTCATGTAAACTATTTGGATTAATAATCAATTTTTTTGTTCTAAAGCTTGCATGTAGTCTAATGTATGTACAGTCACTTGTTATTATTAGTATCATAATTTGGATAGTGACAGTCCCCCAGAGACCCATGTGTTAAATGTTTGGTCCCAAGTGTGGCACTGTACCTTTAAGAAGTAGTAGAACCTTGAAGAAGTGGGTCCTAGTTAGGGGTCACTAGGTAACTGGAGTCATGCTCTTAAAGGAGACTGGAATTCTGGCTTCTTCCTCTTTCTCTCATGTTTCCTTGACATGAAGAAAGTAGCCTTGCTCTGCTATGTGCTTCCACAATGACATGTTGTTTTGCCATAGGCCCAACAGCAATGGAACCAATGGTCCGGAATTTCAAAACCATGTGCCAAAATAAACCTTTTCTCTAAGTTGATTATCTCAGGTATTTTGCTATAGTGAAAGAATACTGATGAACACAGTTACTTTTCTCATTAAAAATTAGCAAAAGTTAGGAAGCATGATATGTAGGAGACATTGTGTACATCAATAAAACGTATTTGGATTGAGAATATAAAACTGATTATTTGAGGGGTTAAGATGGGGAAGAATGACTCTAGGGAAATTAGGGAAGGATTTATTGGACAAATCACAAAAAAGCATAAGCTACAACAAGAGAAAAGCAAGCTATATTAAAGTGTCTGTAATGCACTGAGTCAGGTTTCAGAAACTGATTATCTACCATAAGTGAGAATCATTGTTAACATCAGCTCAACTCCGATGGATTGATGTCCGTCTGTGGTAACCTGCTGAGGATTCTGATATAGAGTGCCGAATTCTCTGTGGTGAAGAATGTCAGGATTGTTTAGTGCGGTCAGCATTGTGTGGGAGAGGAGAAAAGAGTAGAAGAGGCACATGTTTGCTAGCATTTAAAAGTTGCACAAAACATACAAGAGTATTGTGTTGGAGTCTACTACTGTTTATCAGGAAAAAAATGAACTTTTAGTTGATTTTACTTGATTATGCAATTCCAGAGACAGTGCTATGCAATTCCTTTAGGTTTGGGTTTTGAAAATCCATATGGATTACTTAGGATTCTTACCTGTGATTTATTCACATCCACACTGGCAAAGCTTACATTTTTGTATTTCAGAGACAGTGCCTTCAAAATAAAAAAATTCTCTGTTAGCTTACCATTAATAGTAAAATACACATTTGAATCTCTGAGAAATAAATATTAGAACCAGCTAAGCATCATTCCAGCATGTCTCTACTCTGTAGAACTTGAAGTAGTTAGGCAAATACCATTTGATGCCGAGGTTAAGCAAGAATCAATGGAAAACTAGGTGGCCCAAGCCTGTAATCCTAGCACTTGGGAGGTGAAGTAGGAGGATCCCTCCAAGTTCAAGGCCCTCCTGGCCTCCAAAGTCAGTTCAAGACCAGTCTGAACATCATAGTGAAACCCTGTCTTAAAAAAAAAAGGGAAAGAGTGAATGGCAGGACCAAATTCAAGAGAACCGACTGAAGATTAGTGCTTCAAAGTTGGAGAAGGACACAAGGCAAAGAAATAACGAAATGTGTGTGGTATCCTGAGAGGTAGAGGGGAAGATAGCGGCCTTTTCCTGAGAAAGGCCTCGTGAGAATTATTTTCAGTGATGTTCACAACATAGTTCTCAGGTGTGTGTGTGTGTGTGTGTGTGGGAGTTGTGGCCCAGTGGTACATACTTGCTTGGCTTGTATAAGAGGTGTTTTGGAAGGTGGTGATAACTGATGAGGTAAAAGGCTATTCTGGTTGAGGTGATTAACAACATTTTCACAGTCAGTATCTCTCTGATGGCTCTCCATTCCATTGCTAGCTTTCTATGCTATATTATATATTAAAACTGGCCCTCCCAGACTCATTTGCCAGCTGACTTCTAATTAGTTTCTGCCAATTAATTTGTTTCTGGAGAAAAATGGATGCTCCCCAGTGGGAACCATGGAGACTGATTTGACCTAGTGGACATGTAATTCCCAAAGTTAGCACTTTCAGGAAATGGACAGTGGAAGGAGAGAAAAAGAAACCCTGTTCTGCTTTTGCTTGTTCTGGGAACATCTTTGGCAGAAGAAGTGGCGAGGGTATTGGTAATAGGTCTGGGGAGCAGGTAGATGATAGAGAACCTGCAGCATGGGCTTTTTCAGACGTCTGTCCACACCTTAAGGACATTCAATAGTATCTTGATTTGTTTGCTTCAGAATTGTATCTCAAGCATCTCCAGTGACTTTTGCCAAATGGAAGCATTCCTAAGGGTGACACAGGCTGTCCAGAACCTGGCCAAATGGAGACAATGGTAGGTGGAAAAATCACTGTGGTTCTTTCTGCTCTGTTCTTTCTTATATGCAATCTGTTTTTTGTTTGTTGACAGCTTTGTTGATCTTAACTGTCTCCTGAATTTGATCTTTCCTTTCTCTCCAGGTGCCACTGGTAAACCTTCCAACTGAGACTGTTCCCATTAGTTTACCTGTCCTGGGTCCTTCTAATCCCACTGTTGTACAAGTGAAAAATACTTTCTGGGGCTAGTGATGAAGTTCAGTAGTAGACCATTTGCCTAGCATGCACAAGACTCTGGACTTGACCCACAGCACTGCTTTTCTAATTTTTTTCCCTCTAAAATCACTAATTTCATGATGACAAAATCCTTGTTAAAGTTTTTATATTTTGATTCTCTTTGGCAATTTATTAAATTTTTACACAGGTTCCTTAATCTGGCCTTGGTTTCACTTTGGAGGCGTATTTTCTGTCATTTCTTTTGGATTCATTATGAGTTAGTCTCATACACTGCTTGATCTCCCATAATTACATCACACAATTTCTCAATAAAATTTACAACTTTCCTTTTCCAGAAATGCTCTATTCAGGGTTCTGTTCTATGCTTGGTGATCCTTTTAGCCCAGAGTTACAGCCTATGCCCTGTGGGCTAAATCCAGTTCTTCATTTATTCTTGTCAATTCAATTTTATTGGAACATTCTTGTCAATTCAGTTTTATTGCTTTTTTATTTTTTGCACTAATGAGAAAAGCTGAATGGTTGGGACAGAGAGTGTAGGGCCTGCAAAGCTGAAAATACCAATACTTTTCTTTACTGCAAAGGTTTACCGTGCTTACTCCGAGGCCTAGATCAAATGACACCGAGAGGTTATGTAAGACTTAGTTTTAGAACACTTTTTTTTTTTTTATAGGTACCAGGGATCGAACTCACGACTGCCTGCTTGCAAGGCAGGCGCTTGTGCCGCTGAGCTAAATCCCCAGCCTCTAGAATACTTCTTAAAACTCACATTTTCTTTCTCACTAATTTTTTCTTGTTGTATTACATCCTTTAGCAATTTCTTCGGAGAGCCTCTGTGGGGGGAAAACATATGTATTTTGTGCATCTCACATGCCTTGTAGTCTTTCCTCCTCTTTTCTTCTCTTGCATAAAGGTTTAGCTAGTTAACCACCTCTCCTACAGAGCTTGGAGAGGAAAAGAAAGAAAGGATTCCTGGACTCTCTTGCAGCTAGTCTGGATGCATATTTGGTTTTATCCATGAAATGTGAGCAGGTAAGAAAGAGCTGCTTCCTGTTTCCTTGCATGTTCCTGCTGGACACTAAGCAGAGGTACTAAGAGGAGCTACGCACCAGTCAGCAGCAACCATACTTAGGGTCCCAGCATCCAAACTTTAGATTTCTGGACATCCAGAAGCGATTTTGACTGTTGCAGCTGCGGTAGCTCCGTGATCCTATTTCTAACTCTGACATGGCTCTGTTACTGTTTTGTCCTCCCAGTGGTGGCCTCGCATTTCCTCTCTCTTCTGACAAAGTCAGGAGCTCCATTTCTCAACTCTGTGTAGTCATACTATTTTACTCTCTGAAAATTTGTGTCATTGGCTGTTGGAATTTGATTAGCTTTAACTGTGTGACATTGACTGGAGCTTTAATCCAACATCTGAGCTTTGGCTATTTCTGTGATAAAGTTTTGAATATGAGAATGGAGGGCCCATCAGGTCTTAAAATATTCCCTCTGGATATCCTGAGAATTTTAGGCATGGCAGGGATGCTGAGACGTTATGTAGCAAATTTCTCTAGTTGACCATAAATTCATTTTTAATCAAATGTTAAAAGCTATGATTAGTTAAAATGAAAACAGGTGAATTCAAGAGGTCTAGTAAAAAGAGTTAAGATATCAGAAATCTCACTGAAAATAGAGCAGAGTATAATAGAAAGATAGAAGTTTCTTTACATTTGAGGAAAGAATATATTTCACAAAAGGTATGATAATAAGCATCAGCATTTCTCTTTGAATAGTAAGGAGAAATAAAAAGAAATACCCCCAGATGCCTTCTGTGGCATATTTTACCAAACTAAATAAAATGAAGTTTTCAAGTAGGGAAACATAGAAATTAGATAAAATATTATATGGACATCAATATTTTAATCTGGAGACTATAAAATATGAACTAATATGTAAATAGAAAAAAGATCTGAATATAAGTGTACAACTACAAGTAAGTTGAGTATTTCACTAGGATGATTTACAGTGTAGGTCTAAGACAAGAAAGAAATAGGTAAGATATGATTTGCCTATCATTTGCGACAATACAAATTGAGTGTTTCAAGAAACTATTAGCCCATAAAAGCTTCTAAGGGCCAAATGTTTAAGAATTACTTGGAAAACTTCTTGGGGGGGGGGGGTTAAACTCTTTCTATAACTGTGAGATAGAAACCAGTGATACTTACATGAAAAACAGGACCTATCAATTTGCAGGGGCCACACCATTTTGCTGAAAATTCCACCACTATAAGTTTGTGTCCGGCAGCTTTCAAAAATGCTCTGAACTCATCCTGAAACAGCATAGGCAAATACATGTATATAATCACTGACTCTGCTAAAGATTGGCAGAGAATAAAAGGGTGGGGCACATTATAAAACCTTAACCAGGTATTCTACCTCAGTGTTCTGCAGCTGATCCAACCATTTCTAAATGTGTCTGAGGTCAGATGTGTTTCTCTTTGCATGTACATGTAAAAGATAATAAAATTTACAAAAATTACAAGTTTACTCACCAAATGAGTTGGTGATGCAGATTGGTAATGATGGCCGTCTCTGGGGAGACACGGATTTCCCAGGGAAAAGTGAGAATTGAAATGTGACAGTGGAATATTATTCACCATGGATATCAACATTTGATTTTTAGATACTTTTGTTTAATGGGAAAATCAAGCATTAATAGTGAAATTAAAAGGAGAAGAACTAATCTACATCCTGAGTCATTTTTTAAAAAAATTTTTTTGGGATATGATCATTATTAAAGCTATAGTCAAAAACATACATTTAAGATTAGGGATATTTTTTGCTATCTTAAGTAAATTTTTCATGAACTGTCTGTAACATCTAAGTAAGATTTCCCTTTCAGACTACTACACATATATCTGTTTGCTTTATAAGCAGCCTCACTGTCCCATACTGGCTATTTCATGCCTAGTTTATCTCTTCAAGTTTCTAAAGGTTACCTCCCATTGCTTCTAGCTGATAAGCGTTAAGGACTCTTGGAGTGCTTATTGTTTATTACATAATACTCTATTTAATTTACTTTGTCCATTACTCAAGTGAATTATTTATGCTTGCTACTCTCTCCCATAATCTCTATGAGACATCTTGGGGTATTTTCTTTTACTTCTCCTTACTGTGCAAGGAGAAAACGTACTTTATCTCCATTTCACAAATGAGAAAACTGAAGTTCATTAACTTCCTCATAGTAAATGAGCAAGGAAATTCATAACAACCAGCTTTCTCATTGCAGCCAGCTGGTTGGGGGCTGTAGCCTAGGGAGCCTAACTCCAAGTCTGTTTCTTTACTTATTACACAGATTTACCACCTGAGTTCATAGTAATGGAACCCACTTTGCTTTCACTGTCCTTAGCAGCATCATGTTTACCCCTCGGTTAATCATCAAGATGAGACATGGGGTCATTCATTAAGAAGTGTCTATCCTCAGAAGGAATGAGAGTAATTCCACATGAGTGGCATGCCTGCTCTATGCAAGAGGACAGTTGACTAGGACATTGCCATTTGGTTGACTTTCAAGCAGGTGAGTCTGCTGGCTCAGAGAAGTCACATACTTCAGTATCAAAATTCCTTTAGGACAAGTAACTGACTTCCCAAAGGGCAAAGTCTCTGCTTCTCACTTGCTTCCGAAGTTATAAGGTAGATGCCATTTTTACAGTTCCCAACACCTTTTACTTCCCAGTAGTGGTTTGCACATGAATAGACCTACTTGGATCCAGGAATTGGATATCACTGGATTATCTGAAGGGAGTAATTCCATAGTACAGGTATTTACTCAACAGGCACCTTGTGAGACATATATGATGCCAGGGAATGGGCATGATGCTAGGCTACAACTGTCATCTAGAAAAACACAAAAAATTTCCTTGTGTTTGTGAATCTCACATTGTAAAATAGGAAGCCAATAATAAGATCAATAGGTAAAATATGTATTGTGCTAGTCAAGTGCAAATAAAGAGGAAAATGAAGGAATAAAGAAAAAATTTGAGTTGAGGCATATACTACCTTAAGGTCCACCTCCAAGAGAAGGCAGCATCTGCTTGATAAACATCACTGTAAGAGACACATTGCCATTAATCCCCCTTAAAACACTCCCTTAGCTTCAAACACACCTTTTCATCACTCTTGCCACTTTCTGGAGCAGTTCGAGAAGTTCTCTTTTGTCAGAGTATTTGACTTTTAATGAAGAACATAGTGAGAAACTGTGACCGAGTGCTACCCAACAGAAAACCGGGCTCGCAGAAATACCATGCTGCATCCTCACCCTCCCTGTTCACTGGATCTGGTGCAATGATTTCTGGCTCTTCCCCAAAGTCAAAATGACTATAACATGTCAACATTTTGAATTGATTTGTGACACTGAGGCAGCCATAATAGCTCAACTAGAAACACTCATGAAAGATGACTTACAGAACTGCTTCAGAAACAATGAGATAAACATGTTTGAAGTGAAGGGGTTATTTTGAAAAGGATTAATAGCAATGTATTTTTTTATTTAGAGAAAAAAGCAAAGCAGAAAAGAGAGTAGAAATAATATAGAATTTTAAAAAATAACCATAGAAATGACTGGTTAAAAAAAAACAGTAAGAAATCACTAGTTGATTAATTACATATTATTATCTTAGAAGTAGTTCAAATTAAGCATAAAAAATGAACAATCAAACAATGACAGTATAAACCATTATGTTTGATGAACTAACAAAAACTTAGTAGTATAGTTATCTACCTTGTACATTTAAACATACATACAGTTATATCCTTTAGATCACTTTCTTTCCTTTTCATTATCTCAATATCTATTATACATTTTGGATCTTATTACTCTTTCAGTTTTTTATTATTATTTTTATACTAGAGAGACAATATGATATTTACAAATGTGAATCTGATTTATTTCACCTATGAGGTAGTCTCAAATTGCTTCCATTTACCTATAAAAGCCTCAAGATCACCCTTTTTTATAGTTGAGTAATACTCTATTGTATAAAAACACTGTGGAAAGCAGTATGGAGATTCCTCAAAAAACTAGGATTGGAAGTTCCATTCAATCCAGCTATTCCCCTCCTGGGTATTTTCCCAGAAAAATTGAAAATGTCATTTCACAGCAATATATGTGCACCCATGTTTATAGTAGTACAATTTGTAATAGCTAAATCTTGGAAATAACCAAAATGCCAATCAGCCACAGAATGGATGAAAAAGATGTATCTTTTAGTGTAATAAATTTTTTAAAAATTTGAGCAGTATGCTTAAATTCTGTTTAAATATTGAATTTAAAATTTGACTTCACTGTATGTTTCCATCATACCTTGTAACAGTGAGAAAGAGACAGTGGCCCTTAGGAAAGCGCTCTGAAGAGGGAAACGATTCTCAGAGGAGTAATCCTTTCCTTGGCTACTCTGAGTTGCCCAGATAATTGAAGAGAGAAGTGCCTAAAACATTAGGCAGGGTGCAGTATTTAATAACATTTTCTTCTTTTAATGTAGTTAATATTGTTTTGGACTTTATGTATGGCCACATTTGACAAAATGTTTGAAGTCCCAATCTGAAGGCCAGGGAATGTGAAACTCAAGGCCTGTGTCCTCTCAAGTGAGGCTGGTGTCTGTAGTCTGAATTCCTATGCCCACTATACCACTCCTGGAATGAGGAAGGCTCTTTCTCTCTCTCTTAGAGGCAACTTTCTTTTTATAAGAAAAGAATGATACACCTGAGTACAGATTTAGATTTGTTGTGATGTGATGTTGGGGACCAGTTTCATAAAAAAGTCTACCTAAGAAATTGTTGCTACTACAGACATCGTCTTCCCTGCTCCACTTTGTAGGCACATCTGAGTTTTCTGTCTTTCCCAGGATAATAGTAACTTTCTTACATACATACAACTTCCCAGGTGCAGTTATGGTAGAGTCCATGGGGTCAGATTCAGGACAGGTTATGTTACCAGATGGCCTAAATCCTTAGAGCGGGAAACAGGAGGAAGAATCAAAGAGGAAGAAAGTCCTTTTTGATCCATTTGTGCCTTGGTTGCCTCTCTGGATTATACCCTCTCTCCAGGAATAATATAAAGAGCAAACATGAAAAGGTCTGCCCTTGCTCCCGAACAATAAAGGAATACTGGGTGGAGGAAATAATGTATTAACTCTATTCTCAAGGTGTTCACTTTTGAAATAGCCAAGCGAATACTTGCCGTGTCTTTAATAACCTGCACCATGATTTACACCTGGGAACTGCTGTTGAACCTCTCCTGTTGATTCAGGCGGTTCACTGCAGCTACCTCTTATTCATTGTAGGATCCTAAGGGTAACTTCTCTATGACATCACTGAGCACGTCATTGCAGAACCTGGAACGCTGACAGGCTTTGGATCTAATTCTACTTTGATGTCACAAATAGTAAGTGTGTGATCAGCCAAGAATCACCACCAAATTGGGGGCCTTGTTTGCAGAATCAATAATGGGGTATTTCATTTTGATGTTTTACCACTGATGATCACACATTTTTCCCCCTTTCCCAATCCCTACTCCCAATTACCAAATGAGAAGTAACCATGACAATTACTGTTAATACTGGATAAAAGATGATTTCATTTAGAATTTCGTAGGAACTGTTTTACCATTGAGAAAAACACTAACCCTTAAACTTCTAATGTTTCTGGTACATTTGTTTTACGAGCCGTAGATTCCTTGAACTTTGTTATTTTGCTCTAGCTATTTAGAAGGCAAAGAAACTTTGCTTTTATGTACTAAACCAGGGGTTAGATAAATCTCCTGCAATAGTCAGATAATGCTTTAGGTTTTATGAACCACATACAATTTTTGTTGCGTACTGTTTGTTTTTACAACCTTTAAAAATATAAAAATCTTTCTTAATTAATAGGCCAGATGAAAACAGCAGGTATTTGCCAAACCCTACAATTGGTGATTTGTTCTGGATATAATGTTGGAAAACAAAACAAACTCCAAAAATCATGACCATGACCGATGTGTTTCAATCTTCAGAGCAATAAGAACAGCAAAAAATTAAAAAATGTAGGCTCCATAATAAAACCCAGCACAATCCTTCTTCTGAGTTTTCCACACTTTCAGCCCTGTGATTAATCCTATCTTGACAGTAGCTGTTAGGTAGAAAGAGAAGTGGCTGGTCCTGGAGGGGACATTTGCTCCTTCCAGCTGACCCTTGTTGTCATCACCGTCTTCTATTTCTTTGGAGTTTGCTTCTGTTGCTAAGATATCATTGCTAATGTGGGGTGCAGCTACTTTTCTTCTATAATGATAAAAAATATGTGCAGTGTTTCTAATGTGTTT